AATGCCAAGAGCGGGTCACCACTCCCTGGCCATTAGATAAGGGCTAGAAATAAGGGAGCAGCACTGCTGACAGCAGCAATGTTTTGTGCACGGCTGACTGGAACTGCTGACAATATGGATCTTTTGATATCTTACAAAGAGCGAAGAACCTGGCTAAGTAACATTCCTGCAGCTATGTAAATATCCACTGTAAATTAAAATACAATCTGTAAATCATCAGTTAAATCTGGAAGAATTCTGTGCTTCTTAGGTCATGGCTCAGCTGTCATAACACCATTAAGTCTATGGTGATAAGAGTTTGCACCAGCTAATAGTCTGCCCCCACAGATTCTACAAATTAGCTTGGAAACAACTCATGATTAAAGCTGCTTATGAAAGTCAGCTGTTTGAATAACTGCACTTCCACAGGCATTATTCTTGTATTTATTATATGAATAGTTCCCCCCCCCAGTATTTCAAAAGGTTGCAGGGCAGAGCACATGAAGCACACATCAGGATATCTTGGATTACTTATTCATATATGTTCATTTATATTTCTCTTGATCTACTCTTTAAAGATCAGTATAGATGTTGATGACCATTTCCAGCATTCGAAGACTCAAAGCAAAGGGAATTTTCCTTCTAATCCATTACTCCCTAATTCCCAAAGTAGACCACATTTGTAAGAATCAGATACACTGTGAAGTACCAAACAGTTTGCTGCATATATAAAATATATATATATATATTTATATATAAAATATATAAAAAAGTAGGGCCCCAAGTGCCCAAATGATAATTACTAGTTTCCTAGCAATACGTTCAGGAAAGAGAAGCAAGGCCTTGTTTCAAGGTCTCACTTGGCAAAAAGCCAGCCAAGCAAAAACCTGCTGCCTTCACTTACAGCTGCACAAGTGAAATCAGACACTCTTCAGAGGGCCTGGTAAACATGGGACAAGCTTCCAAATATGTTCGTTTGGGAACACTGCCATACGTTTTTCTGCTTTTTTTTTACTGGCAGATGCCATAGCTAAGCCGCTCTCCATCATCTTTGAAAGATCCTGGAGAACGGGGGAGGTGCCAGAGGACTGGAAGAAGGCCAATGTCACGCCAGTCTTCAAAAAAGGCAAGAAGGAGGACCCAGGCAACTACAGGCCAGTCAGCCTCACCTCCGTCCCCGGAAAAGTGATGGAACGGCTCATACTGGC